TGAATGACTATAAGCATAATTACTCATCAAAATAACTTGGTTTTCAATCAAGATACTATTATTCGCGTGCACCCACACGTGTTTGTTCACATATGTATAAATAGATTATTATGAGAACCATTTATTACTTGTCAATAGTTTTGTTTTCTTTTGAACGAAGAACGTTTTAAAATAGTCGCTGTAATACCTAGGTGAAAAAAAAAAAAAAAAAAAAAAAATTAAGATCATTGACTTATAATTAATGTATTTTGTAAAAATAAAAAATTAAAACCTTATACAGAAATTAACAAAATCTAGAACTTTGATCGCATTTAAATAACAGTCTTAAGCATTTTCAATATCATTAAAAATGATAATATAACTTATGAACTTTACATTAAATATGTTATGAGGAGAATTTAGAAGTAGACAATTATTTTGTATACTTAAATAAAAATGTAAAATATGTATTATTATATTGTTATCTGAAAAACTATAACTGACATAATAATTTTTAAAAGTTTCGAATGAAACATAATTGTATAAAATATACAAAGCCATGTATATAAAATAACAGATTTTAAACGATAGCATTAACATTAAATAAAGATAAACACAATGATTAATTAATATCATAAAATTAGAATAAAAATTGAAAAGTTCTAATTATCAATATATACTTTTAGTATTTTAGAAAGAAATAAGTTTAACATTATAATAGAGAATTTTATCTGTAATAATAATTGAATTTAATTATGTATTTAATAATTTTTTAATTGCTGTAAATTGAATTATTTGAAATGTAAGTTTGCATCTTATGTTACTACTTGAATATGAGATGCATATGACAAAATTAAAAAAAAAAAAAAAAAAAAAAAAAAAATTTTTGAAAAAATTAAATTATTGATAGAATTACTGCTTACATTTGAATAATTACAAGTATTAACTTTACTTAATTAATACTTAACATAGATAAATTTTAGTTATATTGTTGTTGACAATGTAATTAATTGATCTGTTTAAATTGCTTTCTTAGAGAATGAATAGCGCATAAAACTTTATATATTGCAGTGAAGCAGGCAAATTAGAAAAAAAAAAACTAACCACTGTAAAATGTATGTCGCGACCTACATCAAATTCCTCACTATTTATACATTTTTCACAAATTCATCATTCCCTCGTGTTCTATAAATCATTAAAATAATAAAATAGCCAGTAACATCTTCCATTTATATCAAAATATTTATTCAAATATAATAATTTTTGCTATCATTTGTATTAAATATATTATATTGTTATCATTTATTAACGATTTTTCTTCTAATTTCGTAAAAAGAAATTTTTATTTTTTCTTTATAAAAATTATTGTAATTCAAGTATTATAAGATATAGTTTACACAATTTCGTTCAAAATATTATGCAATCATCAAAACTTTTATATTTTTTAGCAACTTTTAATTAAGATTAACTATTTGTTATCACAGATTAAAGGCACTAAAAAAAAAAAAAAAAAAAAAAAAAAAAAAAAAAAAAATCAAAGCATTAGAGTGCGTATGATAAAACCCACAATCTATCAAAAAACCACATGCGATTTATTTACAATGTTCTGCTTACCTAAAAAGGATTACGTATATTATGATAAAAACGTAGTTTAAAAACATAAAATTAATTTTTATATTATTTTAATATTTTAACAGATGCGCAAATGGTGCATTATCTGAATAGTTATTTAATATGTGAAGTTCAACATTTAAAATATTATATGGGAATATAGCCATAATAACCATCAATATTTTTATTATTTTCTTTAAGGGCAATGTTATATATAATATTTAGGATTGTTTATATGATCGAATAAATAAAGTAAAATATGTTTTTACTTTTATGTTTCATTTAGATTTCATTCTTAATAATTGTATGAAAAAACGTTAATGATAATAAGCGATGAGAATAGATTGCCTTATACTTTAATTAAATTTATTGTCATTTATTAAAAACGTGTCCATAATATGTAAAGAAATATGCAATGCTAGAAAAAAATCTTTTATATAATATCGGCGATGTAAAAATTTATTACAGTTAAATTCGATAACGATATATTTTTTTTTTTTTTGTTTTGATTAATTACCGATATTTTGAATATTATACCAATTACTGTTATTAATAATGTTTAAATACAATATATATTTACATACAATCGTATCAGCATTATTGTTAGATAAAAGTTCTTACAAATTTTCAAGTACTAAATGTACTTGAACATTAGAATAAGAAGAAATTATCCAATTCCATATATTAAATTGATTGTTATAAGTCGAGTAAAATAATATAAATATACTTATAGACACTTAATTTTTTTAAATAAAAATTTATATCTTAAATACATGGCACGTGTCTTGATGAAATGATTAAACGAAAATGGGTTATATTTCTTTGATTTCATTATTCGCTTTAGTGCGGAAGAGTCTTGATAAAAAGTAATGTCCAAATGTACATTGAATACACTTGAACAATTGACATTATTTGAAACATTTTTATCAATTTATATATATATATCGAGAGAGGGAGAGAGAAATCTTTGAATTTTGTATTTAAATATTTATTTAATATTTAATTTAAAAAAAATATTCTTTAATTATTTTTATTTAAATATGAATATTGTAAATTTATAATTAAATAGAAAGATTAGCAGTCGTTACAATTTTTATCGTAAATATAATTAGCACTAAAATAATCATTTTAATTAAAATTAATTTTAAATTAGGATGAAACAAATACGCGCGCCCACACGCGCTCTTATACACGTACGTACTTTCACTATTTATGTATTTACTTTATTTACTCTATTGACAAAACTATCAGTTTCATTCAAATTGATTAAAAAGCTTATCGGTGAATCAGTTTATCAATGTATACATTTTGATTAAATGGACGATATTACGAAAAAAGTGTATTATGTGAACAAAAATATCGAAAGTAGTTCAAACATGTCTATTTCCAGATTTTTATAAATTTTGTTTAACATTAAATTGTATTAAAATATAATAGAGTTTTAAATAGACATTTAATAATAAGCTTATTATTATTAAATACTCTTACTCGTTAATGAGACGATTTTTACATTTATTTTATGTATTATTTCGTTTTCATTAACGTTAAACTCTTATTTATAGAGATTTTTATTATAAATACTAAAATATAATTTAACATTTTAGAAAATGCTATATCAATCTTACGAAATTTAATACGATATTTATTCAAATAGGAAAGGATATAACCATGAAGTGAAAAATATGTCAATTTATATTCAGAAAGCAATAATGTTTACCAATATTGCTATAATGTATTTAAAAAAAAAAAAAAAAAAAAAAAAAAAAAAAAAAAAAAAAAAAAAAAAACATTGAAAAACATTGAAAAACATTGAAAAACAGGAGTGAAACAACATTTATTTTGATTATTTTCCTCTTATATTTTCATTAATACATTACTTTTATAATTTTAATACATGGCGTAAAGATAAATTTTTACGTAGGAGCAAGAGTTACTTATCAATAAATGACGTAGAATTTTTGATAATGTATTATTAATTACCATTATAGACTTTTCATTTGAATTTATATGCGTGAAAAAAAAAATGTTTAATCTTAATTCATTTATTAATTGTATTTAGTCATTCATATGTAGAGTGAGTGTTTTTCAATTATAAAGTTATACAGAGATGAAACTGTACGATCAATTATACTTTTTATATACAAATACGACTATATTTGTAAATATTACTATAATCATACAGAATTACTATCTTTAATCTATCTTTTTAAATAATAATCAAAATATAATAAATCACTAAAATTATTATTTATCCATTAAATCTGTTGTTTATTCATTAAATTAAATTTATCCATTTGTATGCGTAACAAAATAATTTATAAGATATTTCATATACGCGATAAATTATATTTCTTGATAAAATTAATACAATATATTAGGAAGTTGTAACGGAACACGCTATTATTATTTGTTAAACAATGCATGTTTTATAAGAATAATGTAATTACATCAACCAAAATAAGTGATCTTTTGAACTATGATCTGAAGATTTAGCTGAGCGAGTGATGATCTAATCCACATTCATAAATAAATATCTTTTGCACCTCGAATGTAATGTGGAACCGAAATCGCACGGCAAAATCACTGTTTGATGATTTTAGGATATTAATAATCTTTATTCGTAAAACCATTGAAATATACCTATTTTGAATGCCAGTAAAATTTGTCATGGACATTTTATTTAACATTTATGTTGATGTCAGTGCTTGGCCATGATCAATTATAACATGCCATAAAAAACTATTTCTACCTACTTTTTATATAAACAAATGAAGATTTTTAATTACAAAATAAGAGACCTGGTTTTTTTTTTTTTTTTTTTTTTATATCAAACTGATGGTATGCAAACACAAAAATTTATTTAATAATTCAATTAACATCCTAAAGATATTTCTCAATAATAGGAATTTATTAAAGGTTTCGTAAAAATATTAATGGTTAAGTTAATTATATTATCTTATGATATTATTATTATAAAATTTCTATTGTGACTGACGATACACTTTGACTGTAATTATTATAGTCAAGCCAATTAATACATCTGAACATTATAAATGTAAGTTTTATGCTTTCAAACTTTACCTTATCCTTTTCCTCTCGATAATGTGGCAAAAATGTATTTCTTTGTAGTAAAGATAAACAAAAATTACGTAATAAAATTTATATAACGAAATACGAACGCTTACAATTTATTTTATGCAATTGCTATTTAAAAATCGATTTAGTGTACATATGTGCGATCTGAAATGATAAAAGATTTCGTTTATTATAGACTTATGAAGTTTAATATATAAAAAGGCATTGTTATTATTGATATACCTGAAACTAAATAGATAATAATACTCCATAAAATTATTTAAAGATAAACTTCTTGTATAACTAAGAATATGAATTTTTTTTTTTTTTTTCAGGGAGATACGTTGGGTCTCGTCCAATTAAGTTACGTAAAAGTAGTTGGAAGCAACGTAATTTGGATTCTGTACGAAAGAAGGAAAAAGAAAAGCAGGCATTAATTGGTCTGTTAACCGGAAGATAGAGTTAAGTTCAATAAAAAAATTTAATTTTATAAAGAGAAATACATCATGTATAAATATGAATGAAAATGATCTAAATTATTCTAATTATAATAATATTATAACCTACACGAACACACGACAACTTCCTTAAGTGCGATCATTAATGTAATATGTTTTAAACGTTCACATCATTATCCTGATTGCGAAGAGAAATGTTCTAATAATCTTATTCTGCAAGAGAGTATTTGTAAAAATGACGTTTACAAGCAGATAGAACAGGCTAAAGCGATTGTTGATAAGGTTTAGCACGGACAAGACGATTGCGTTAATGAGAAATTTTCATGTTTTTTAGGCTTTAGCATTGAAATTTCTGTGAAAAGAAAGTAAAATTATTCAACAACATTGACAAGATTTTTTGTTAATAATCGTCTTAGTGACAATATATTAAGTGAGTTAAATTACAGAATTATTTTGTGCAGAATTTGTGCGATAATTAGAATACTTTGTGCAGGGTTATATGTTACAGAAAAAACCAAGAGACGATAATGATGGTAATGTCTATAATGTACATACTTGGGAAAATAATATTGGACGTGAATCAAACATCATTTACTAAGTAAAAGTAAGTAAATTAAATCTCGTCGACTACATCTTGTAGTTTATTGAAGCATTTTGTATGATATATTAAATTGTAAAAAAAAAAAAAAAAAAAAAAAAAAAAAAAAAAATGAAAAAGAAACACTGTTTGAATAGATAAATAAATATGTATATAAAGATCAAATAAAATCATATAAAAGTCGAAAAAAAAAATTGCGATTTTATTTTATACCATTCAATCCAGTCCTAATTTTGTGGAAATTGATGTGAGTACACGCGCTTGTATATAGACGCATTAGAGGTGTGTTGGTTGGTAGGATGGAAAAGTTCAGTTGAATCGAGCAGCTATTTAATGAGTGATATATATATATATATAATAGCAATACTCGGAAAACTAATTATTGTCCACTTGAATTCTTAATTCTAATATCTCTAAGATTTGCATGTCTCCTTTTACAATCGCACCATTATACTTACACGATAAAAGTAAAAAGTCTATTGAAATATCTAAATATCGAGTGCACTTTGTTTATGACGAAGAAAATCTTATTGATCAACGCTGTAACGTAACTGCATTGAAATATGAATCTATCAGAAAATAAATTTAAAGTTTTTAATTTCTATTGCAGATGGAATGGTATTCAAAAGCCCGCTTTCCTTCGAAAATAATAGATTAAATTGATTATCCAACGTGGATATAAAATCTTATCTATAATTTCGATAAACAATTTTACTAATAAAACAATTTTATAATAATATTATTTAAATGAATTATTATTATTACTTAATTATTTTAATCCTTATAGATTTCTTTATCGTAGTTTGTATTATTGTAAAATACAAATAATAAAGCTAATTGTGCAAAATCTGCGTTACAAAGTTAATAAATTTTGTTGGCAATAATTTATTATATCTTATGGATTAAAATTATAAAGTAATATAATGAAATAAAATTTATGTTTAAAATGTTTAAATTTTTTACACGAGTAATTTAATATTCTATTGTTTATAAATTTATTTAATATGCAGTCTATATTGTAAAAACATGCTATATTAATTATTTTATAATTTTCTTTAAATACAATAGATTAACAATGTAATAGTATAATAATGTAAGGATTTATTCGTATATATATATATATATATTTTTGTTATTATATTGATTACTATTTTTGCCACAAATTAAATAATGTATACCGACATTCAACATGTAGCTCTGTCTCATAAATTAAAATTTTAATCTGCAATCATCTGTCAAATTTTCTTACATCTATATAAAAAACTTCAGTTTATATTATATTATGACTTAATCGATTTGCCGCATTAATTTTCACGGAAAAAATGGGCGACGATGAGTCATTTGAAGAGGACGAATATGGCGAAGAACAAGAAGAAGAAGAAGAAGAGAAAAATCCTATAGGGGTAAGCGTTAATCCATATATTTAAAAAATTAATTTAACATGTTATGATTGAATAATAAACGAAATAAATGAAAAAGTTGAGGTTAACTAAATTTAACAAGTGGTAATGATTTGTTATTCTGAAATTTGCTTCAACGCAATCGATATATTTATCAAAAAAAAAAACAACGTAACGTTGAATAATTATATTTTACAATCATTTTAACATAAATATACCCATTCAAGTATACACGTAAATTCTAATAGACATTTTATATTTTATTTAATTTTTAGCTACATACTTTCGCAATAAAAATATTAGCCCAGTACTTTCTTTACTGGCATGCCGTTGCATAAATACTTATTTAAATTTTTCGATTCCTTGAAAAATTGTTAGTGTACGTTGTCTATAATTTTTATACTTGCGATAGGCAGTAGAATTAATTGAAAAGGGATATTTACTAGAAATGAGTGTAACTGGAAATAATATTAGCTTTTCATTTGAATTTATTTTGCATTAATATTTTCTTACTTAAAATTCTGAAATCAGTATTTATAAAAAGAAAAATATGTATGAATTTTTAATAAATCATCGATCCCACGCATTTATGAATAACGATTTCCCATAAGTAAACAGTTCATTAAAAAATTTAAATATGAATTCAATTCATATAGGTAGGATTAATGCAAGACTGAGGAATTTTTCAAAATAAAATGAACTTACTGATTTTGAAATGAATGAAACTATTCGATTTAACACAGAATATTTGTTATTTGCAAATCCAAATAATGTAATATTATAAATGGTAAAATAACCGGAATTGTGTAAATGATTAACAATGAAATGTAATTTAAGCTAATGGACAAAGTTGTTTATTTTTACTTTTCTTAAGTCTGCTTTATTGCCATAACTCGCAATAAAAGTACAACGCCAATAGTAAAGCGAAATCAGATTAATTTAAGTATGTACTGGTTAAAAAGTATAAGTGAGTATAAGGTTAACTGTGCTATCGTACAAGATAGAAAAAAAAAATTGCATATCCAAGTAAGTAAAATAAATACAAAATTTCACAAAACGATATTTCGATTTACAAATTAATTTATAGCCGAATGTCAGGCAAAAAATATGCATTTTAAAAATGAATGTTTTAATGAATATATATATATATATATATATATATATATATATGAAGCCCTTAAATTTCTCGTTTTTAGCAGAATTATAAAGATTGCGTTCCTTTCATAAAAAAAAAAAAAAAAAAAAAAAAAAAAAAAAAAAAAGAAAAAGTGAGAGAGAGAGAGAGAGAGAGAGAGATCCATCGCTTATACTTTGAACGCCATAGATTGTCGCTTAACTCCAAATATTGGTGATGTAGTTGAGAAAACATGCGGCAAAGCTGCCGGAAATTCGATATAATCAAGGCGTAGACTGGGCTTTTTGACGGCTAACCTCGAAAATAATTTCCGAGTCTTACTCGTTTGTTCCCTAGCGCTACGAGGGGGACAGGGACAAGACCGGAGAACGCCACGGATTCGGCAAGGCCCTTCTACCGAATGGCGACCTCTACGTCGGCGAATACCGAAAGGGCCTGCGATACGGACGGGGCACCTACGTGTTTAAGACCGGGCCGAGATACGAGGGCGACTGGCGCCAGGGCGAGAAGCACGGGCGTGGAATCTTCATCTACCCCGACGGCAGCCGATACGAAGGTCATAACCCGCGTTATCGATGGGCAGATCGTTGCGTTGCCTGAAGAACTCCTCGGATGCTCGTTACTACCCATTTTGACCGTTACGCAACGGCTATTCAATTATACCTATTCAATTATGTTATCTCGATACAAGCCTATATTTTGTATTTATGGAATTGCGGATAAATAATTTGAATTTTAGATTTATCATAAGATTATTTAGTGATTAAAGAAAACGAAAATTATTTCAATTCGTCATAGTTTTTTTTTCTTCTTTTTTTTTTTTTGTGGGTGGCGGGGTTAAATAAAAATATACTCTTTGTGCAACTTTTCATATATACAATTTTATTTTCAAGCCAGTCTTATTCATGGCAATAAAATTAATTTTTTAATGTTCGACCATACAATGTCATTTTGAATGTTAAATTACGTTGTAAAGAGTGCTAGTACGCAGCATCTGCGTCAGTACAACATCATACAGTGCGCGTAATTAAATAAATAAACAAGAAGAATTATTCACATCTGTAGTGATTAATTTGATAAAAGTAGCTTATGGGCATACATAGCGATATGTCATCATGAATCAATTAATTAATTATCAACATTACGATAGTTGAGCGAATAAAAAGGGGGAGTAGTAAACGTTTGAAATTCGTTTGAGGATGAAAGGATGGGTGAGTGAGGGGCGGGGACAAGGATATCGAGTTGAAGATGCTTTTGAAGGAGAATTTTGATGAATTGCAGGGGAGTGGAGACATGATCGTAAGTCAGGTTTCGGTACCTATTACTACTGTAACGGGGACATATACGAGGGCGACTGGAAACGGAATTTCCGCCACGGACTCGGAACCTACATCTACAAAAACTCCGGGAGTAGATTCTACGGTACCTGGATCGTCGATCGCATGCACGGAGCTGGACAGCTTATCCACTCGCAGCATCGCTTCCACGGCTACTGGGACACGAATTTGGTGAGTTAGATGGCTAGAAAAAAGTGCGTAACGGTATTGGGATAATGACGATGACCTTATTTTCATGCTTTTTTTTTTTTTTTTTTTTTTTTTTTTTTTTTTTATGCGTTCGTGTGTAGGTAGACACAATTTTTTTTCATGGCTGATAAGCTTATTTGCCCTTAATCGTTATGCGATTGCTCAGCTGGCCTAATTTGTCGTTCGATAATTGTCGTTTGACTTTTCCGAATTCATTTTCCTTATAAACAGCGCCATCATACGCTTATCCCCGGACTGAAACATTTCTCATGCCCAGTTCTTTAGAAAATTGTTTCACGCGAGCTAGCTTCAAATGAATGTAAATTGCAATTTTATTTTTTAATTTTATTTCAACTTAATGTAAAACGATTTACATAAAACATTTTTTTTATGTATTTTATAAAGATTTTTTTTTTTATGCAAAAATTAAATAAGAAAATATTCGATAATTTTTAACCTTCGGATTGTCTGAAAGTGAAGCTTGTGAATTAAAAAAAAGGATTGAAAAAAAAATAAAAATTCACAATAATAAAGACAAATAATTATTAAAGCTTTGTTTAATCGTATTATCCGACGATCGGAAAATATTGGCAGTTTCACGTGTCTTCTCAGTGACCCGAGAGCCCTGTTTTATAATTATAAAAAAAAAAAAAAAATTAATAATTATGTAAAAAATAAAAAAATCGAATTCATTATTGATAACTTATTGTTTGAAGAAGGTTGAAAGATATCATAATTTAAGAGCATTAAATGTTTTTATTTTAACTCTTATTTCAACTCTTCTTAGATAATACACGTTACTCATTCTCATGAAATACAGAGTTATAATAAAAAAATGTCTGCATAAGCGAAAATGAGCACGTGACATGCAAAGTATTTTCTAACCAACACACTATCGTTCTATTTTCTCTCAAATAAAACATCCCAAGTTTTTATGGAAATTTGTTTTATCCTTTCTTTACTTATATCCACAAACGTTGAAATACGCACACTACTTCACTCAAAAGACGCTTTAATTATAAAGATATTTGATAATTAATATTAATAATTGTTTATAAACTTCATTTTGATTTATTATGAGGTAAATCGTAATTAAGATATTAAGTTACGTTAATTTTGTTATAATGTTGTAATTGTATCAGCAAACTCGTCAATGCAAAATATAATTAATGTACGTAGGCGTACATACTCGCAATCGCAAAATACTTTTCACTTGATCGTAGAAAGTTTCTTATAATTATATAAAATCATGTAAGAACTGTCATATTTCGATATATTCAAGTTTAATCGTGCACGATTATTCGGGAAATCGAAGTTCCAAATCTGAAATCGAAGTATCATGATCGAATATTATTTATTGATCTATGGAGATGTATTATCAGTCATGAGCATTAATTTTCAATCAGATATCGTTAAAATGCGTAATATGATCAAAATTTTCGTGATATTATGTTTAAATGAATAATCATTGAGTTTGTTCTTTTTTTCCTTCATAAACCTACTTGTTTGGCATTATTAATCGAGATTAATGATTACGAAACGGCTAAGCAAAGCTTCAAGAATGTCACATTTAATAACACAATTACCATTAACATGTACTTGTGAAAATGCATTTTCCGTATGCACAGTTAAGATATCTCTGCAAAAAAAAAAATCAGTATAATTGTACAAATAATACTGTGCTGCCGTGAAATACTTATTAATATTTAACAAATTATCCTATTAATAATTTTCACGTATATTGTGCATTCGAAAAAAAATTACTTTTATTGCAATTAAATGTGCGAATAATATTTGTTCGTATTTGTGAGTATTGGGTTTGATGTTTAAAAATTACATTGCATCGAGCAATATTGGGAATCTTATTAAATTCATTGGGGATGAAAAACATTCGAAACATCTTATACGTCTTACTTGTAATTGCGAGGAGGGGAAATTTTACGATCTATGCTGCACATTTGTAAAATTAGCTGATTGTTTACGATGATTTGTCAATGTTTTAAACAGCCTTTCGGCCGCGGCTGTTACATCTTTGAGAATGGATACATGCAACACGGCTATTATGCGCTTGTTCGAGACCCGCTTGTCGACCTTGACGAATGTTCAGAGGTAAAGACGAAGTCCTATCGCTATCACTATTATATTGTCTCGCTCAATTATGACTTTTCATTTATTTCTAGACTATACACTATATTCTTATAAATATGTAAAATATAATATTAATCTAATATAATATGCATAGTTGCTTCAATTATTGTTGCTCTTGAGCTTTCAAAAAATCAAACAAACTAAAAGCCTTTTTTTTCGTTTTTTCTTTTGTTTTTTGTTTTTTGTTTTTTTTTTTTTTTTTTTGTTTTTGTTTTGTTTTTTATATGCATTATAGCAATATTAGACATTTGCTTATATTAGCATTATAATATAATATACTTACGATTATGGAATAGTTTAGCTTTACAACTATTATTATAAGATATAAATTGGATAGCCTGAATTGTTGAGAATTTACATTAAAAATCATTTAAATAGATGTAAATCATATTCCAAGGATATTAATAATATTCACATATTAAATTTGTCCTAAAAAGTTTTAAATTCTGCAAAATTATAAGACTGTTGTTAAAATTTGATAATTGTTTAGATGAATTAACTATCGAAGAAAAAAATTGACCATTTTAGTATATTAATAATGTAATCAAATTGTAATATATTATAATTTAACAAAATGCCCGAATTTCCATTAAATTTTTCTTCAAATAATAGAGATAATAAGGCTTACGAATGATAATTCAAGCTAAGAATTTATTTATTAAACCATCAAGACAAAATTAATCGTAAAATCTATGGTTGAACAATACGTATAATTTATAGCTTCTACGAATGAAAATTTTCTTGAATATCTTCATTGTTTAAATTTCTTTTAACTTTTCATTTAAGACTTATGTTCTTGTATATATGCCATCGTGAAAAGCAAAAAATATGACAATTCATTCGTAAATTTCTTGCTCGGTTTTCAATATTCACGCCTATAAGATAAATCATTGAGTTATTATTCTAATATTCTACTGTTTCCTAATCAAGAAGTCTGCATTAGTTTGATTCGGAATAGCGAGAAATATAAAATTTAAACCCTTATGTTTTTCTTATTAACAATGTCATTAGTTCATTGCCATTAGAATTGAGTTCTCATTATTTTAACGCGATTGTCATGATGTCCGAGGAAAAAAAGAGAGTCCTATTTTTTTCTAATATACATTGGATAATCGATGATTGTTAACCGATAGATGCAGATAAAAAATTTTCTTTCAAAAGTGCTACTGAAGAATATATAAGTGTTTTCTAATGATTCTCGCGATCTTTTAATCCCTCCGTTTTCATTGATTTCCCATTGATAAGGGGATTAAATCAAGGGATTAAATCCCATGATAAAAGTGATAAGCATAAGCATTTAACGCTGAGGGAAACTGCTAAAAGCAATTAAGCAATGTATCGACGACTGTTTGAAATAGTCCACAGATGATTCGAACGAGGAAGAAGTCGCGATCGAGGAGACGAGTATCAAGGAGGAAAGCGTTGAAGTCGAGGTACTGAAGCTCCAGGATCAAAAACCGGCGCCATTAAGGAAGGGTTTTATTTCGGATTGGCGGGCGAGATGCGTAACGGCTTATAATCCAGATTTGCTGCCACCCGATCCGATGCCACTGCAAGAAACGGTAGGTCTTCGTCCCCGGGGAGTATAATTTCATTATTAGTCGTAAGGATTTGATTAAGGAATAAATATTTCCATTAGGCGTCAATAAATAAGCTTTTCTTGGAATTGCATTTACAATAATTTACAAATTACAATTGGGGTGAACTGTTATTAATAAGTCAACATTTTCTAAAGCAATGAATTTATATAGGAACTGTTTGAAAAATTTTTAATTTATATTGTAACGACACGCACAAGTTTTTAATGGAGAAAATAAAAATTATTTAATACATACATTATTAGATCTTTACAATAAATCTCATTGATAGAACTTATTTCAAAACGCGTGCAAACTATTTATATAAATTCAATTTAATTTCAATTGTGTACATTTAGTTATTTTACAAAGTAAATAAGATTTTAATTAAGTATCAGCCATTTAGCAACAATTCATATTGAATGGCAGAAAAAGGAAAAAAAATTTTTTCGCGTCAACGTTACTACGTGACAATTATATTTGCTAAGCAATCAATATGATGAATATATCATCAATGTAATGAACTATAATGAATTGTGTACGCGCCATTGCATTCGCGCAAGTGCATTTGATAAATTTCATATTTAAATACGAGAAAATGTCTATAAGATATTGTAGGCGAAATGTTTAATTAAGAACTTGATTATCTGAAATTGAAAATATTATGCCGAGCTAATAAAATCAAATGTTTTCTATGTACAAATGTATTGTGCAATATGCAATAATATAATTATTATGCTGTTAATGTGTTTTATATTAAGTCAATAATAAGATATCGTCGATAGTCCTTTACAATGCTCGCTTCTATTTAATAAAAATCCTCTGAATAATTTTTTTTTAATAATTATTTGCTCACTATGAGTATACAGTTCATACAATTTATATTGATTTTCATACGTATTTCATACGCTTTAATTTGAGGCTTTAAACGCGTGGAATATTTACACAGTATTTTATTAAAATAAAATTAATGAAAATTAGATATAATTTTTATGCGTCCAAGTGACCTAAGTATTTGAAGGTTAAATTGAATTCGCAAAATAAGCAATATAAATGAATGATATGTATATTATTATTATTATTATTATTATTATTATTATTATTGAATTACAATCGGAAGTAACAATTACTCGTTAATTTGAACGGTGAAAGGAGCCGTTTCGTACGATGTGAAATATGAAATAGCTGCGTAATTATTAGATCGACATATTTATTATAAATGAAAGTAGAATGGGTAGTTAGTTGATGAATATTCCAAGGCAAATAATAATCGTGCCATCGATAGCTTCGATATCATCGACTTTGGCATCGTCATTGTGACGATCGTCTTCGCATTAAATTCGTTTCCGCATTTGGATGGAAAGTGCGAGGAGTGGAAAAGCAGCGGCGGATTACCAAAATGTATTTCCGTCGCCGGACTAGCGTCTTAAACAGGAATTTCCGCTTTACGGTTAATGCATTAGTCTCGACATCAACCTGATCAACGTGACGTAGCGCTTGATAAAATCACCAATTTCTCAGATACATAATTAACACATTAAGGAGAATAATTAGTAAAAGGAGAATACGTGATAATAAATTATTGGATTGGGCAAAGAAGTTGTAAAAAATTCAGCAAGTGACGGGAAGCTTAGAGAATGCAAAAAGGCCTTGTCTCATATTATATCTCAATTCTATATTTGAAATGCCAATTTCTAATTTACAACTGCATGTACATTCTTTTTTTTTTTTTTTTTTTTTTTTTTTTTTTTTTTTCAATGATTTTCTTTTTCTTTGTTTTAAATATTAAATTCGAGCCTAGAAGCATTATAAAATCATTCGTTGAAAATACAAAGGTCATTGAAATATTTTCAGCATATTATTAATGTTTATGCATTGTTAAGATGTGTTTAATAATAAAAATAAAAGTAGTACCAATTTCAAATTAGTGTGACAATTCAACTGTCGTTCATCTGTCATGTAATCGTAATTTAATCGTAATGTGCGGAGGTGTCGGTGCTAAACAAGCGCCAATAAAATACCTTTTTTTCTTTCTTTCATTTTTTTAATTCATTATGAAAGCTTTAAGTTTTTAGTTTAAAGAGAGTGGAATATAACGAGAGGCCACATTAGCTTTCGCAGGATTCGGTGGACTCGTGCAAAGCTTGTGGTTGCGAGGGCTCGGACTCCGATGCGGAAGAGTTCTTGAAGAAAAATGATGAGCCAAAGAAAAGCGATGCGGACGAGGAGGAGGAGGAGACTACAGAGGAGGTCGTCGATGGTCCCTACGTATCACTTGACGTAACTCAATGACACCACCCTCGTATCTAATACTCAGCATTACCTTGTTATTCGACATTATTGATAAAACACGATGAAATTATATTGACTTAAAAATAAAGTTATTTGAAAAAGTATTTTTACAGCGTGTTAGCATTTATAATATGAAACGTGCGTGTAGCTTATGAAAAAAAATATGAATAATTTTATTTATATATTAAATTAATCTCTCGATTGTTCGCTTTCAATAACTTGGACGTGAATTTTTAATAAAATTCGACAGTATTTTATTAGGCTGTAAGCCTCGTTATATTTTATCATTACCAAATTGCATTTGTTCGAGGTTGCGAGAAAAGTTTCTTGCCACGACTTCCCACGTTCAGCTGGACACTCGAGACGGTCAATACATCTGGAAAACTCTAGTGAATAGTTAGCTCATTTATTCTTGCTTATCTAAAAATGTGCTGATGCTTTTCCTGTGCAGTAAAAAGCTAATATGTTGTTTACTGCCAAGAAGACGTAGATTCTGAATGAGTATCAGATATACGGAAAATATGGAGTACAAACATTTCCTAAATTTCACTGCATCCCAAAACCCCGCACGTGCGTCAACAAGCAATAGGCTAACGTTCGCACTCGGTTTATTAAGGCAATGCTTGCATTGTTCCTAACTACACCGCATCTTGACGATCGCATTGGAAAAACGACCACGCTCAAGAGGGCCCTTCGTCTAGCCAAGTCCCAGAGAAGGGAGAGGCGACCAATAGTAAAGGCTCCCCACTTTCCGACACTTTCCCGATTAGCATATTCGGGACTGAGCCCGGAAGGAAGTGGAAATGAAGGCGTGCGTGATCCATCGTGCTGCCGTCCAAAGTCAAACTCTGATTGGATACCGGAAAGAATAAGGGGTCCTAAGTGGAACTGGGTCAGTGAACTATTTAAGAAGGATAATGTAATGTACCACGGCTTATTCCTATTCTTATTCTTCTCCCGATTGAATGGATAAGTCACGACTTACTCTCACGGAGGAGGACCAGAGACCAGAAAGTCGTTCAGCTGAGTCTAGTAAATAAAAGCTCTTTCTACGTTTGTGAAAGTCAATATACAGTTAACGTTGATCTCATCATCAAGTTGATCTCAGATAGCATTGGTTCTGAGATTCTTGTAATCTCAGCTGGAGACAAGGAAGAACTTAAGAGCTGCAATTATTGGAAGGGAACTTCACATCGAGCCAACGAAGAGAGACTGAAAAATTCACGATACAACACACTACAAGTAAGTCCTTACCGCTAGTACTGATTCTTCGTCTCTCGGCTTTACTCTGAAAACGGACGGCTGAAAGTCCGACTAGTGAATCTTCCCAAGCATACTCTAAAAAAAAAAAAAAAAAAAACAAGACCAGCTGTTGTTACACGCCACACATTATCTTTTTTATTTCATCCAACGATCAGTGATTCTCGTGGCGCACATTTCCTCTAAGGATCAGATGTTGATGCCACACAGTGGCTTCTTTTTAATTCCTCTAACCTCTAATTAAGGCACCTGCTTACTCAAACGGCCCATTATTCAGAGGCAATTGGAACACGTGTCAAGTTACGACACAGCCAAGATTGTAGTGTTCGTTCAGAGCACAACAACGATCATAATCTCTCGAGTGATAATATTCAGTAAATTATAACCTATTCCCTTTCACAATAAATCATAATCTCACCATTTACATGCAGAGAATAAGGAATTGATTATCCTCTAGTTCACCAATAAAAGTATATATCTCAACGCCACATGATTATTCAGAAATATATTTGTATTGAGAAATATTTGTAATTTCACCATGGTTAATGATTCCAACGTGCAAATAAAGTGAAATAAATGCAATAATATTCGGTGTACGTTGATCTATCTGAACTATCCAATCTATTAGATCTAATTGGAATAAAAGTGTAACATCGGTGTAATTAGCATACTGTGTTTACTTTATATCTGTTCAATTTTGTTAGAAAATTATAGACCCTAAAGAAAATCCAGACAGTAGTGAATTACTCTGAACATTCTATTCCTTATCTTAAATATTCTAATTGTATATATCAGTGTATTCTTTAAAATTATTCTTTAACAAAATTTTATTTATTTATATTAATTGTCCATTTAAATTAATCGTTTGTTTTAAATTCATGGTAAATTTAAAGAATAGTCTTGAAAAGTTCGATTTGCCGATTTAACTATCAAAAACGTTAGTATAATGTCCGTAGTCAAACTTAATTTTTACTCGCAAATTTGTTCCATCGGGTGTGTAGGAAAAACAATAATGGACGTGTCAAGATTTTAATTTTGTTGCAGCTCTCTATCGAAGATATTCACTTTAATTGATTTATTAATGAGCATTTAGAACAGGATTACCAAAGTAAATATAATGTCAGTATGAGGTAATTTGTTTCCGATTATATAATCATGATATAATTCATGAGTATAACGTAATGTTAAAAAAAAAATTGCCCTAAAATAATGAAGGATTAACGTTCTACTTTGGAAAAATTAATAAAAATATATTTCTTTTTTTTTTTTATATGTAACGGAGCAGTCGTTTTATAACAAATAAGTCCAAATGTTTAGAATTCCAGTCATCCGGTGGCCATCGACGGACCAAGATGGTTAGATTAGACTGTAACCATCAGTTCAATGGTGGGAGAAAATGAGGATAAGTGGAAGAGATAGTGATTCTATTCAGTAATTAACAGATCAGTTTTTCGTTGTGTTTGTAACGTTTATTTTACAATTACACAATAATGATTCTCAATTGAGTGATTTCCACTTGGGTATCGAGGTAGGAGATCGTAAATCTTCGGATCCTATTGACGTAGTGCGATTGGTGATGTGTGGAACAGTGTGTGGTTGCACCGCGAGACGAATTTGCGTTATGGTGCGGAAATAGTGTGTGTGGTGGTGATGGTGTTAGTGATTACTTGTGAATGTCTTGTGTGCTTGGCCTTATTGGTTGAGGTTGGCATTCTGTCGTGCTCTCTCATGATGCTGGAGATTCCTTTAATCCGTAGTAGTAGTAGTAGTAGTAGTAGAGGTTGTTACAATATTTTTCCAACGCTTTCACCTTGCAGGTGTGGTTGCAAAATCGATAGCTTCTTGTTCTCTCGTCAGCTGTTCAGATGATAGTAGCCCGTTGAATACGCATACGAAACGGACGTGTCGTGTTCATTCCGTGGCGGCTCTGCTTATAGAGATAGAGAGAGAGAGAGAAAGCTGCTAAGACAGACAGTGTTCCGTGTCGTGGCGTCTTCATTAATAGAGAAACTATTACTTTATTAGAATTGAATGGAAAGATTTATAAATAACAAATTCATTATAAAATGTTACACATACGATATTCAATTTCATCCCCTGTCAAAAGAAATATTTTTTATATTCAACTATTTATGAGAGTGCTATAGCTATTTTTTAAAATGATTTCTCATTTAATCTTACTAGATTCGAATATAATCAATGCAATATTTTCATTATTATAAAATCTAAATTTTTTGCGCTTCTTATTTATATATTTTTATCTATAGTTAATTAAAAAGAGAAATTGAAAATTATTTTTTGCCCTCTGAAAAATATCAATAGTCTTAAGAATTTGTCATATGACGAATGAGGCGACATTCGAGATGAAAAGGGAATAAGAGACCATCGATATGCAATCTCGTAAAATGCTTTAATTTAATCTCATTGCTTATTCGGGTGTGCATGACTTACATAACAAAGCTAATTTTATTCGTATTCGCAGATTTTTATAATTAAATTTTTTATGTAATATTCGTCAAACGAACTTAAACATTGTAATGCAGAAAATCTTTGTGAAGTAGAGTTAATTACTTGTTGTTACTAACATTGTTAGTAGAGAAAATTAATTTAACAATTTATTATTAATTATTAATTATTGTTTATTGTTTATTGTTTATTGTTAGTTTATTGACAATTATAGTTAAAGATTCATAACAATATATAATCTATTTTTATCTTAATACTTGCCAAATATATAACGAAAAATATGGTTGAGAAAATTAATAATTAAATGTTTTATACTGAATTAATATGAACATAGAATATAAATCATAATTATAAAATTATTTATGAATTATTTGTTATTAAAATTTAATATAAATTAAATAATTCAAGATTTCCTTAAAAAAAAAAAAAAAAATTAATTTTTTGATATTAGACTGAATAATGTTTGTACGAGCGTAAGAAAAATTAAGAATAAATCTCGAAAAGATTTTTCGAATATACTCTTCCCTTATTCAACTTTTTATAAATCATTAATTAACTAAGAGTGGCATATACTCGCACTTCAAACGAATTGTTGAATATAAAAATAAGTTATAAATATTAAATGAGATCGATCCATGATTAAAAAAAGTATATTATTTTATCGCTGTAATTTGTTTAAAACCTCGTCCAAAATATAAAATTATCCCCTCGAATATTATTACATAAAGAGTGCTCTTAGTATTTTCATCTTACGTTATAACGATATATTAATAAAATTTTCTGATATAATTAAAAATGCAAAAAGTGAAACAACGAAGCAGAAAAAAACTCAACTAAACTGCCGTTGTGAATATGATTCTATTAGCAATGAATTTATGTTATTGATTTTCGTCAAAATATAAGTAGGATAATAAATGTATAGCTGTCGATTGATATTGATTGCATTGGAACAGTCGGCTCGATTAAAAATCGACGGTCTTGTAAACTTTATTTAAAAACTCGCGCTTTAACATAAAATGAAAAGAAAAGAAGAACAAGTTAACTACTGCGCACAATCAAACCGATTCGACGCAGAAACTGCTTTAAAGCTTGCAAGTTGCAGACCGCCGGCATATTGCAATTGCCACTGGCATTCATCGAACGCTGGCTGCTGTTCAATAAATTATTTTATCGTCATTTATTTATGTTGCTGTGTTAATTCTGCATCTGTACGTAGACATGCAAAGGAAGAGGACATTTGGTGATACTTATGTCCCATTGAAATATTGAGAGTGTAGCTTCTCTGAATATCGTATAGTTAGAAATTAATCGTCGACATATTAGGTATTTATAAAATTTCTTTCATAATAATTGCTGAAGAATTTATTTGTTATTATGCTCTCGTATAATTGTGGTAAAATAATGTAATCTAATGCAATAAGTTTTAATCGTTTGGCACTTATTTATTTTGCTTACATACGAGCAGCATAAATGCATCTTCATGCGTGACTACTTAATTTAAATTAAAAATATATACTAGAAAAATAATATAAATGTATAAGAGAGAGGCATCATTTAATTTACTTATGCAGATAAAGCGGATTATAATTTAGGATAATGATAATTATTTAAACGAAAGCTTGAGAAGCGAATGTTTAATGGAGTCTGTTCAACCAACGGTACTACAGATCAATTATAACGATGCACCGCCATCTTTCGAGGAGGCAGTGAGTTTGGATGGTACTTATTTATCTTTCAAAATTTTTCATAATAATGTATTATCTCTCTCACGTGTATTATGAGTTAGGCAAATAATCTCTTGCTTATCTTCTCCTTGTCATTTATAATAATTATGGTTTTGTTGATAATATACTTCATGTGCGCAGCTCCGCCCCCTTCGTACGAATCATTATTTGGTCAAATAAGAGAAGTTCATGAAAAGCAAAAGCACATATCAGATTTGCTGCAAAATATATCAATTATACTTTTAGGCACAAGTAAGCAGCTTCAAATGAATACTACCATGTACTTTTTAAAATTTAATTGAAAATATCCATTTCATCGATCACATTTTTCTTTACAGTTGGATACACAATTATTGTATTTGCAATTCCAGCATGTATGATAATTATTGCTGCATTTTACTTTTACGATTGTCCCGAAGATAAATTTATACCTTTTTATCTATTAGTGGGCGGTGGATTTGAAGTATTTAATAAATTATTCTTTTTATGTACAAATATACAAATTGTCAATAATACAATAATGAATACCTGTAGAGTTGGATGGTTTATTTTGGGTAATATATTTATGTTAGTTCTTTTCTTTTCTTTTTCTTCTGATTTTTATTTTTTTTTTTTTTTTTCAGGTTCCGTTTCAGTTTATAAAGTGTATGAACCAAATTATGATCCAGCTCTTGGTAAATATTGTAATAAGACTCTGTACTTATTTGCATTTTATTTAATTACCTTAGGTTACATTATAATAGCTTTAGAAATATTTTACTTTTGTGTCATTTGTTTGGTAAGTGCAATATCAAAATTTATCACAATGAGAGAATCAAATATGTAAATAACTTCCTTATGATATTTTATAATCCATCAAAACTCCAATAAAAAATATCAATGTATAAAAATTCAGTAAGATATTCATTATACAATTCGAAAGTAAGAGGATAACATAGCAATAGATATTATTCTTTTATACTTTACAAAAACAAACTTTATAAACATTGAATATTTAATATTATTCATTTCACAAATTATTTAATAAAAAGCAATTATAAAGATATTTTTCGAGTTATTTAATATACCACAGAGAACCTCGGATACTTTTATAATCAATAATTATTTAAGCAAATATTAATTTAGTAAATTAAAATATAAATTTTATGAAATTATATTGATTTTACTTATAAAATGCACTAAACTACCCATATTTTAAAAAATTTGAATTTCAAAACAATCTTGTAAAAATTACATTTTTTTTTTTTTTTTTTTTTTTTTTTTTTTTTGCAAAAATCCGAGGATTCATTATCAATAAAAAAATATTTTTTGTCAGTCAAGTTTGTAACATCAAATAGGTAGTGCACTGCATTGATTTTATTTAATAACATTGTATCATACATATTTTTTCTAAAATTACGTTTATATATAAATAATACTTTTTTTTTTAATCTATAATGATATATATATATATATATATTTTTTTTTTTTTTGTAATGCATTCATTCATTTTTTTCATTTTTGAAATAAAATGATATCTACTCTATCGCTCAAATAATATACATTGACACACTTGTTAAATGTTATGAACATAATCTCACTTACACGAGATAGATGTGAATAGATTAAACAATAATAAGGTTTGGTCGAATTTTACGTTGATCAATAGAAAATTTGGGTTTTCATGCTCCTTTACCGATACATTTTATGATATCTTCGATACATCATTTCTACATAAATTACATTTATATTATTACTTTGGCAATTATACATTTTTTTTTTTTACTATATTTTTCCTTATTTTATACACACTTTTCACATAATATTTATATAGTATGCACGAACTTATAAATCCATCGCTAATCTACAAAAGAAAAATAAAAGTAAATCTTATTTTATTTTAAAATAGTATTTGCTTTTCAAACGCGAAATTGAATTTATATTTTAGTTGGTCTTATATTATGTTTACCATTTCTCTAGTGGAATGGCATTCTTTTTAATTAAAATTTAAATCCACGTCAATCCTGAACTGATAAAAAAAAAAAAGTTGACGACTATTTTAACATTTGAAATACACAAATGTTAATTATGTAAAAATAAATTGACAATTTATATATATATATATATTTTTTTTGTTTTTAAATTAAGTTTTAAATTTAAGTTGTGGCTCTCGACGTAAGAATTATTGATATAAAAGATAAATCCACAATTGGATGTTACATATAATATAAGACCGCCCTTGTGACATCTTATTCTCCTTATTTAACTTATTAAATTTATTTAATAAATCCCTTTTATTAAAAATGTCCACTATCCAGTTTATTATGCAATGATATTATACTACAGTAGAAAACGGATATAACAATAACTTCTTCAAGATAGATTGTTTTTATTAAAAATTATTATAGTGCTTTATGTACAATGGGTAGTAGCAAATATTGTTATTAATTGTTAGAAACATGAAATTCAGAAGTGATTTATCTCATGATATCTCATTTTCAATATAAATAATTATCTTACAGCGAGGTAGATGTTATGGATTGTTCATCAAGGAAACTATGCTACTTCAACATTTGAACGTGTTTCAATTATTTAAAATTTTACAGAATATTTTAAAAGATGTAACAAAAATTTTCTTATTCCTCTAAAATTACGAAATTATTGTAATTTATAAATATTATAAATTATTTAATAATTATTTATAATTATTTTATTTTTTTTATAAACAGATTGTGAAAATAAACGTTTAGACGAGGTCACTTTAGATTGATTACGATAGAGCATTGTTATAAATAATTTTTATGAAAAAATAAAAGTCAGGCATTATTAATTTAAAAATATTTTTATCATAATAAAAATTCTAATAATACGTCATAATAAAAATGTGCTGTAAAAATTTAATTATTTGGACAATAATAAATCAACTCTTATGAATTTCCTATGAAAATATATGATTTTAGCATCGATTGGATGTTTCAATTAAGTTCAGAATGATCTTTATTAATAAAACATTGGCACTAACTAAAATATTTAGAATGAAAATATTATTGGCGATTACACCTTAACTACATTACATTACTTATGAACAATAAATTGTTTGATATGAATATAAAAAAAATTGCTACAATTGGAAAGGAAAATAAATAAAAAAAAAAATAAAAAATTTTTTTTTTTATACAGATAATATTACTAATACATGCGGAATTTGCTGATTTTATTTAATAGTTTGTGATTTTGTACGCCTTGCCTTATATTATTCAACAATTTTGATTAAAAATGTATAATTCTAATGAAGTGAAAAGCATTTTTAGCGAAGTTGTAATATTTGAAATTTCAATACATTTTCAACGATCTTTTGTTTTACCCATCCATCGGTACTCCCTTTAATCTCTTTATTTATTAAATATTTATTAAATCTACAGCATCATTATCTTATATAAATTTACATGTCGGCAAAATATTTAGTGAAAATAAATATTTCTCATAACATTTCCAATAATATGCTTATTATCAATTAATACGGTCTTAATTTGCAATAATATTATTATATAAGTCAATTAAGTATTGCATGAATGTATTGAAGAATATATATTTTTTCGTTTTACCTCATCAAATATATTTATTTATTTCAATTTTTATCTTGAATTTTGCCAACAATTTTACGTTTTTAAATAATTATTTATAATTATTTTTTCTAAAGCTTCTTGAACATAAAACGGAGAATTGTTTGTTGATCTTAATATTGAATTGTTATTCTTAATTACTAGTTGGATTTCATTATTTTTATATAGCCAAACGATATTAATGTTCTTTTGTAATTTTAAAATTGCTTCCCGAGCCATTTGCCAAGTTGTGCTAGCATTTCTGTTCATCCTTCTCACATTGCCGGAAAGATACTGGGACAGTTTGTTCATTATTTCATCATTTGGTGTAATTTTACTTTTTGACGAGTAAACCTCCGTTGCGAGGGAATTATAAGCTATTTCATATATTATTTTATCCGAGGACTTTAACACATTATAAGCATTGGATATTTTCAAAATGTATAACAAATCAATGAATGGAAAATAGGTATTTACATATCTACAGTTTAATTCTGATATTTGATTAATAATATTCTTAATTGGCCGATTTTGCGGACTAAGGTTTAACCACGAACAAATTGTTCGCAAAATCTTATTATCTATTTGATCAATTAGGTATCGATCAATGTTTTGTAAACCTTGTAAGCAGCTCTTGAAACGCGGCAAAAGGAACATTTGAAAAGATTCAACTTTTTGTCTATTTGTCAATAATGATTTGTCAATAGTTTTAAGACTATCGAGCATCTGCTGAATTGTCGGAATTCCTTTTTGAATAATGGATAAGCTACGTCTCACTCCAAAATATTCATTCATGTCTTTTTTTTTCAGAGACCTCAGCGTTTTGGAAAGCAATGCGAATTTTGTCCCTTTAATTTCTTTATTACGACCAACGTAATGAAGGGTCGAACAGTTGTCGTGATTAAAATGAAATCCAATTGCCTTTGCGTCGTTTCCTACTAAATTCATCAACTCCTTAAGTTGCTCCGATGATTCGGCAATCAATATCAATTCATGAAAAAGGACAAAATGATTTATTTTTTCATCAAAAATCTGATATGAATTCTTATTATTGGCCAAATCTTGCAAAATAGGTTCGATAATAAAGTTAATGAGAATATTATTTATCACGAATCCTTGAGGTAAGGCCTTCAAAAATTCAATATTCTTCGTGTAACCGCAATAAATTCGGATTTTCGTTGAAGAGCGCATTATATCCGTGATAATATTTCCAATGGATTCAGGAATTGAATACCGCTTTAATAAATAAATTATTGCTTGCTGTGGTATTGAATCGGAAGCATTGGAAAAGTCTAGCCAAGCAACGACCAAGTCTTTACCATTTTGTTCTGCATACTTTTTACACTCTTGTAGGAGGAAGCAATTTTCGTAAATAGAATTTCGCGAATAATAATGCTTTTGCGATTTGCTTATTAGGCCAGTAGACTTTCCCCAAATTATTAATCTATCGCTTAGCAATTTTTGAAATAGCTGAAAAGTCGTATTATGTAGTGTAATTAAACGCCAATTTTTCATTTGTTTGATCTTTTTGTTTCTCTTAATCAAGACGGAATACGATCTCTTCCAACATTGGGGGACTCTTTGAAGTTTTAAACAACCATTGAAAAGATGTGTTAAATTCAAACAATCTTTGTCATATGTAAGCAAATGTGCATATGTTATTCTGTCAATACCCGTGGATTTCGAATCATAAAATGGATTGTAAACAAATGATTTTAATTTTTTCTTTATTTCGTTAGGTGTAAATCTCTCGGTTAGAGATATATTATAACTTTCATATATATTGATTTCTTTCCACAATTGCGAAGGCAATGATGCAATATTACATTTCGCGCGTTTACTTAATAGTAGTGCATAATACTTTTCAATTATTATCGAATCGATTAAACAATATTCTGCACCATAAAAAATTGCTTGTAAAGCATGGTGTTTTCTTAGCAAATATAAACTTTGAATATCACTCGCAACATTTACATTAACCTTGTTTCTATTGGGACGATCAATTGGAATTCTCGAAAAATCGTGCACATAACTCTGTAAATAATTTCGAAATGTTACATCAACATCGTTTAAATCATCTTCAATATCAATTTCCTTCAAATTACAACTTTTGGAATTTCTATTTGAATTATTATTATTTTCCGTTGTCATTGTTATTGTTTAACGCATCAATCTGTAAAAGAATTATTTACCACATTAGTCGAAGTATTTTCGACAGTCAGTTTGATTAAAACATTGCACATTATTATTAAAGTATAATAAACAAAT